AGCCTGCGCCAACATAGGGCCAACATAGGCCCAAGATGGCCCCAAGATGGCCCCAAGATGGCCCAACATAGGCCCAACATGGCTCCAAGATGGCCCAAGACGGCCCAACATAGGCCCAAGATGGCCCCAAGATGGCCCAAAATGGGCCCAACATGGCCCCAAGATGGCCCAACATAGGCCCAACATGGCCCCAAGATCGCCCAACATGACCCCAAGATGGCTCAACATAGCTCCAAGATGGCCCAACTTAGCTCCAACTTGATGCAAAAGACAACAACATCAACCACATCAACCACATCGACAACATCAACGACGCCAACAACATCAACAACAACATCAACAACAACATCACCAACAACATCATCGACGACGACGACAACAACAACAACAACAACAACAACAACAACAACAACAACAACCACCACAACAACCACAACAACAACAACAACGACGACAACGACAACGACAACGACAACCACAACAACCACAACAACAACAACAACAACAACAACAACAACAACAACAACAACAACAACCTAGGGCCAAGACAGGGGCAACCCTGCGCCCAAATAGGGCCAACATCGGCCAACAACAACAACAACAACAACCACAACAACCACAACAACAACAACAACGACAACGACAACGACAACCACAACAACAACCACAACCACAACAACAACAACAACAACGCCAACAACAACAACAACAACAACAACAACCTAGGGCCAAGACAGGGGCAAACCTGCGCCCAAATAGGGCCAACATTGGCCAACATCGGCCAACAACAACAACAACAACAACAACAACATCAACAACAACAACAACAACAACAACAAAAAAACAAAAACAACAACAAAAAACAACGACGACGACGACAACAACAACAACAACAGCAACAACAACAACAACAACAACAACACCAGAACATGGACATGGATTACACCCAACGCATACCTTCCACGGGTCTGCTTTGGCCGGCGCCCGGCTGTCAGGCGTAAGCCTCATAAATCCGGGCGCCGGCCCCGCGCCCGTGTCCTCGCCGGAGGCCTTCGGTGGTAACCGAAGGTTATATACGCTGGCCCCCCTGCCGCCGACCACCTCGTACTTACCTCGTGTCTGTCGATTCCGGTTCACCCCCGACCCACGATTATACGTGTAATTTACAGTGTATTCTGCGGGTGGTGTTCAAAAAACATCGTTTTTTACAGGGTTTCGGGCCCCTCGGCGGCGCAAAAATTGCACCTTGGCGATGTTAAAAAATGTGGGTTTTTCCATAGTTTTGGCTTTGAGGGGCGGAAAAAATCGCAAAAATTTGTCTCTGCAGATGTTCTTGACGGCCTTGGTGCCAACATAGGGCCAACATCGGCCAAGATGTGGGCTACATGGGTCAACATAAGGCTAAGATAGGGGCAAGCCTGCGCCAACATAGGGCCAACATAGGGCCAACATAGGCCCAAGATGGCCCCAAGATGGCCCAACATAGGCCCAACATGGCTCCAAGATGGCCCAAGACGGCCCAACATAGGCCCAAGATGGCCCCGAGATGGCCCAAAATGGCCCAACATGGCCCCAAGATGGCCCAACATAGGCCCAACATGGCCCCAAGATCGCCCAACATGACCCCAAGATGGCTCAACATAGCTCCAAGATGGCCCAACTTAGCTCCAACTTGATGCAAAAGACAACAACATCAACCACATCAACCACATCGACAACATCAACGACGTCAACAACATCAACAACAACAACATCAACAACAACATCACCAACAACATCATCATCGACGACGACGACAACAACAACAACAACAACAACAACAAGAACAACAACAACAACAACCACAACAACCACAACAACCACAAAAACAACAACGACGACGACGACAACGACAACGACAACCACAACAACAACAACCACAACAACAACAACAACCTAGGGCCAAGACAGGGGCAAACCTGCGCCCAAATAGGGCCAACATCGGCCAACAACAACAACAACCACAACAACCACAACAACAACAACAACGACAACGACAACCACAACAACAACCACAACCACAACAACAACAACAACCTAGGGCCAAGACAGGGGCAAACCTGCGCCCAAATAGGGCCAACATCGGCCAACAACAACAACAACGACAACAACAACAACAACATCAACAACAACAACAACAACAACAAAAACAAAAACAACAACAAAAAACAACGACGACCACGACAACAACAACAACAACAACAACAACAGCAACAGCAACAACAACAACAAAAAACAACAACAACAACAACAACAACACCAGAACATGGACATGGATTACACCCAACGCATACCTTCCACGGGTCTGCTTTGGCCGGCGCCCGGCTGTCAGGCGTAAGCCTCATAAATCCGGCCAGGGGCCCCCTGGCCGTGGCATTGCCGAAGGCGGTTCTCTCCTCTCCGTAGGAGAGAGGGGCCGCCGCCCCAGCCGCAGACCACCCGGTCAGGCCAAAATATCCTGCGTTTTACAGGGTATTTTGCTCTTCCCTTTTTTTCCCATTTTTCGGATCTTGTGGCTCGAGATGGGTCAACATGGGCCAACATAGGCCGCAAGATGGGCCAACATAGCCCCAAGATGGGCCAACATAGCGCCCAAGATGGGCCAAGATAGCCCCAAGATGGGCCATCATAGCTCCAAGATGGGCCAACATCGCCCCAAGCTGGGCCAACATAGCCCCAAGATGGGCCCACATTGCCCTCAAGATAGGCCAACATAGCCCCAAGATGGGCCAACATAGCCCCAAGATAGGCCGCCGACCGCAAAATATCCTGCGTTTTACAGTGATTTTTTGCTGTTCCCATTTTTCGGCTCTTTTGGCTCAACATGGGTCCACATAGGCCTCAAGATCGGCCCACATAGCTTTCAACATAGGCCAACATAGCCCCAAGATGGGCCCGCATTGCCCTCAAGATAGGCCAACATAGCCCCAAGATGCCACAAAATGGGCCAACATAGTTGGGCCCCTGGCCGGCTGTCGCGCGTAAGCGCTTAAATCCGGCCAGGGGCCCCCTGGCCGTGGCATAGCCGTACGGCGTTTCTCTCCTCTCCGTAGGAGAGAGGGGCCGCCGCCCCAGCCGCCGACCCACCCGGTAGGGCCAAAAACTACCGCGTTTTACAGGGTTTTGTGCTCGTCGCATTTTTTCTCCTTTTTCGAAGCTTGTGGCTCAAGATGGGTCAACATGGGCCAACATAGGCCGCAAGATGGGCCAACATAGCCCCAAGATGGGCCAACATAGCGCCCAAGATGGGTCAAGATAGCCCCAAGATGGGCCATCATAGCTCCAAGATGGGCCAACATGGCCCCAAGATGGGCCAACATAGCCCGCAGATGGGCCAACATTGCCCTCAAGATAGGCCAACATAGCCCCAAGATGGGCCCACATAGCCCCAAGATAGGCCGCCGACCATCAAAATATCATGCGTTTTACAGTGTTTTTCTTGCTGTTCCCATTTTTCGGATCTTTTGGCTCAACATGAATCAACATGAGGCCAACATAGGCCAACATGGCCACAAGATGGGCCCACATTGCCCGCAAGATAGGCCAACATACGCCAACATAGGCCAACATAGCCACACAATGGGCCTACATAGTTGGGCCCCTGGCCGGCTGTCGCGCGTAAGCGCTTAAATATCCACAAAAAAAAAAACACACAGGAATAAACGCACTAGCGGACTGTGCCTAGACCACGGAACTGGAGAGTTGTGAATCAAGTCGCCAAAGATGTTGAACACTGCAGAATGACGGGGGCCTTCTCTTTTTTGCGATTGTAAGAGGGAAACAGTCTAAAATCATATGGAAAGTGCGAGATATAGATCTCGAAATATCGGACATATTCGCTGGATATACGATCTTCCTCTCCCTCCCTCCCTCCCTCCCTCCCTCCCTCCCTCTCTCTCTCTCTCTCTCTTTCTCTCTCTTTCTCTCTCTCTCGCGTTTTGGTGTACACATGCGTACGTCGATGTGATGCCCACATACACAGATGCCACCAAGACACTCAGCTTCTAATTGTGCAATAGCTTCTTGGCCTTTCATCTCCTTCAGAGGTACCCACCCTCCTTGTGATTGAGGTCGATTAAGTATGATTAATTAATTAAAGTTTATATATATTTATTTAATTATATATATATATATAATTATTTATATATGGATCAGTCATGAATGTCATGATCAGTCTGGCTTTCCAACGTTTCAAGTGTCCCTTGTGAATCATGATGACAGGGGATGGGTCAGCTATGTCAGTTCTTCAAAGATCGCTCTGCAGACTTCTCTTTGCTCAGTCTCAGTCCTGCTCCTCGAGCATCTGCGTCAACTTCTCGTCCTCCTCTGCCCAGCGCGCCTGTCAATGGCAAATCCCTGTCCGCACACCTCTGGCAAATGCGAAAGAATACCAAAGCAGGCAGAGACACAAAAGCCAAACAAAGATACAACAAAATAAAGCTTAAAACAAAATAAAACAAGTGGATTCTAGAAGTGCAGCTGCTTCTAACAGCTCCGAAATTGACTGACTCATCCGATATTGTCCGACTCATCTGACTGTTTGAGATTGTTTGAGATCACACGATATCAAGAACCCAAGAATTTCCAAGAGAACATTGTTCTATATTGTTCTTCCGATTTTCAATCCCTTCATGCAGTGAATGGCGACTTGATTCTACCTCGAAGGCGGCTTCCATTTCGGCCAACTCCTTCTCCAGCTCTTGAACCTCCGAGGTTTCATCAAGTTTCATCGTTATCTAATCGTTATCTAAGCGTTATCATCAGCTGTCATCGATTATCATCAGTGTCATCAGTTATCATTGCTATCTACAGCATGCAACATGGCATACTCAGTGAAATAGTGGGACGCAGTGGGAAGCAGTGAGGCGTAGAGGGATGCAGTGGGGCGTAGTGGCTAGGTACGAGTATTTGCTAGATTGGGATAGATTGGGAGAACACCAGGCTTCCGGTGTACCTCATCTTCATGCTTTTGCCTGGGTGCCCCAGCATCTGAAAATACTTCTAAGATCGTGTAAACAAGACCTTGTAGGCCATCTCATGGACTCATGAACGAATCGAAGAGTTGTGAAGAAGGTATGAAGTTTGCACTTTGACCCGGACTTCCTTCTTTGCCATTGATCCTGACACCCACATTGGGGAGAGAATGGAAGAGAGACGCGTTGCATCGTGCATGCGGTCTTCTACATGCTGTTTCAAGCGAATGTCTCGTGAAGAATTATTGAAGGCTTTGAAGACACATAAGCGGACTGTCAAATTCTGTCAAACCATAACCCACCTGCAAATCTCCCATCTTTTTTTCGTGTTTTGCCTCAGCACGCCAAGAAATCCAAGCAGGTTTCCAATCATTCTACTCGGCCAAGGAGAGCGTATACAGTGTAGTATATAGTAGCCGCATGAGGCTCAGACTTTTAGATTCTCGATTTTCTGCTCTACCTTGTTCTGCTCTCCCTGGGCTCTTGCCAAATGTGAATCCGAGATTCCTCAGGCGACAGGCAACTGCAAATTGAAAGCTACCACCTGCCCTGGCTAGAACACACTCCACGTTGCTCCACGCATTTTCAAAAAATATACTTTACTTGCGCCATCTATGGCTGAATCCATCACCATCTTAAGGCTTTATGATCGGGAAGCCTTAGGGCTGGGCTTTTGAGTTGCAAGATCACTTTAGCTTCTTCAGCCTCCTGGAAAACTATTTCAGATATGCTGCGACCAGCTGATTTTCTGAGTGCTAATTTGGATAAGAAATGATAATCTGATAAGAATGGATAAGACAGGATGAGACACATCGAGTCTGTGCCTGATGAGCCTTCAAATGTCTCCGGGCCACGTCTCGGGGTGGCACCTGCCCGAGGTCACCCCACCCCGTAGTTCAGAGCTCATCACAATTCATCGTGCACGGTGTCTGCAACGATAATAGATCTGACATGCTTTTAATCTTGAGATATCTTGCCATGAATATATCCTGAATTATCTAGAGATCTTCAGATATCTTGAGATATCTTGAAATATCTTGAGATATCTTCAGATATCTTGAGATATCTTGAAATATCTTGAGATATCTTGAGAGCTGAAGGAATGTAGCAATGATCGTGCCTGGAAGAAGCTGGTCACTGTATTTCGGGCATCTAGTCGTCTGCCCTGCGCCAGATTGGTACAAATCAACACACCCGATGTGGGAAGACTTTTTGGAGCTAAAGCACCCTTGCAGTCGCATTCAGATGCATTCAACACTTCAACACAAGGCAAAAGCGTGACAAAGCCTGGGCCAGAACCTCTTCCCGAATTTCCTGCATGCGAAAGCAGACAAGCAAAGCCAAAAAGGAGTATATAAGAACTTCCAAGAAGGTATTGAGTGAGAGGCCAGCCTGGGTCTCTCGTTCCCGCTCCTGTCGACTGCAATTCCAACGCAATAAGGACATGGTCAACAAGTCAACGAGGCGTCTGAGTTGAGGCAGCTCCTCGCACAGTGCCTTGAGCTGTTTCTCCACATCCGCCTCCTTGTCTAGCTCCACCTGCAAGCGAGAACGATAGAAACTGATCTGCGCTGATCGGAACAAAAGAGACATACTGTACTTACTGGCTAGATCAAATCAGCACATCAGGCTTTCCAAGTAGCAGATAGAAGCACATAGCAGCACCATGGTATACTATGAATGTGAGTGATTGATCTTGGTCCCACCTGATGCTTCTCAAGGGCCTTTGCATTTTGCCTTGTCACATCATGTAGCCTGAATAGAGATGCACACGGAATGTCACTGAATAGCAAAGAGCGATCAGAAATTTCAGTGATCCACCGTCTGACTTCATTACTTAGCAACTAGCAACTAGGCACATCAGGGGCAGTAGTGGCTCTGCCTTTGCAAAAGCTCAATGCGTGCTGCGCGCTGGTGTAGCAGAGTGGCCTAACGGCTGTGGCCATGGCCTCCAATTGCTATCCAAATTATCCAATTGCTTTCCTTCACCACCAAGCTATGCCAGCTATGCATCACTCACTCATCCTTCCACGCCTCCGCGGCATCCCGCTCGCTGCGTGCAGTGCCGAGAAGCTCTGCTGCTTCTGAGAGCACCCCATCATCAGCTCCTATGCAGAGCCTTACCAGCACTCAGGACCCATGTGACTATCTGATTGGCTGGGATCGGGTGTGCATCTCTTTTGATATCCTTTTGCTTTTCCCAGTGGTTTCATATGTTCGCTGCTGCCGTACTTTCAATATGGAGGTTGGATCATGAACAACCAAACACGCGCAGCTGCAACCAAGGATCCATTCATCATCAACGTCTTTAGCGAGAGCTCTTTGCACGCATTGCTGTGCAAGAGCCAGCTCCAACCTGGACATCAATGGAGATAATGGAGTGATATTCATGAAAGTCTTGGGTGTGGCAATAATAAGCCACTTTCAAGTTGAGGACAGTATGCGCGTCCCTGCCAGTTTGGGTTTCTTTATTGCGTCAACTTGGATCTTCCAACAATTCAAAATTTCTGCCTTTGCCCTAAAAGGATCTAAAAGGCGCAGATCTCTGCCGGTTTGAAAGAAACTTGCCTTTTTCAAAGAAAATTGCCTGTTGTGCCACAAAAATGCCTGGCGCCAAACTACCATGAAACAAAGGTCGGGTAAAGTCGCATTTAGGTGGTCGGGTAAAGTCGCCTCTTGGTCGGGTAAAGTCGCCTGTTCCCAATTCTTTTTTTGGGGGAGGTTTTGACAAAAGATAGCAATAAGACAAAAAAGAACCTGTGGTAAAGTCGCCTGTTGACCCAAAAAGGCACATTTGCCCAAAAAGGCAGAAAAAATGAACAGTCATGAAGATGCAGGAATACGAGAAGCACAATGGCATTTTTGTCATTTGAGGCATCCTCAGTGTGTGGTACAGCTGCCTGGCACCCTCCAGTGGAAGACCCGCAGGAGCCATCATGGCTGCTGGGATAGCCTCGTTGGGCCATTGCGAATCATTGCGAGACCTGTGTCCCGCTGTCAACCTTTCTCGGATCAAAAGTTCTTGCCGAGGTCCATACCATATCATACCATAATATCCACAAGGTCCATATCATATATATCATGATGATTGCCATAAAGTACCACACTTATCACCCGACTCGCCTGACATGCCGGTCCGCTCCGCCAGGTCCCCTGACAATTCCTGCTGCAGCTTCTGCCACTTGCGATTCCAACAATTGCAGCTCGCTGCACAAGGCCTGCAATCGGAGGATATCGGATGGCAATGATGGAAGCGCGAATGGAAGCGCAAATGGTGGCAAAGATTTGGCAAAGAGCCTCAACATTTCTCAACTGTGTGAAGCTTTGGATGAGTTCCAGAAAGGTTTGGGAGTATGATGAGCTCGCAATCCCAAAGAGATGACTGAATCTGTCTGATGTTGTCTGATCTTTACTTCTTGGATCTGCACCCTAGCATGCTTTTCTCGCAGAGTTCCAAGGATCCAGAGCACTTTGCGCTCAGCAAGTCACGGAACACAGGCATCAAATCAAGATGCAACAGGATACACCGCATGTATGCATGGTATCGACGTTAGCTTAAAAACTTTCGTGTGGGACATGTGGGGCTTCGCATATCTTTCGCTAGCCCCTCATGAGACACTTCCTCTCCGCACAAATTCACGCAGTTTCAACCAATTGGAGGTGCTGCCTGCACGATGCATTCGGTCAAAACCTGTGAAAATCTCTTGTTTCCTCACCTTCATCTGCGCGCTTCAGATTCCAAACTGTTGTGGGCAAGAATTCGCGCCACTAGGGCCCACTAGGGTCAAACTTTGGATTCCACATGATTCCACCAAAGGAAATAATCAAATTGTCAAAGCCAAGGTGCAATCTGCAAGCTCGTGGCCTTCTTCCATAATGACCTCAGCACAAACTGGTTCTCCACTGGAGGTTCAATTTTGTACGTCTTTATTGTTTGATTTGATATCTTTCATATTCTTTCACGATCTGATGTCAAGGTCCTTATTGATCTTTTTGGATCTTTTTGGGAGTTGCCCACTTCTGTCCGAACCGGAGATTCTCAAAACTTCTCAAACAGTTGGGATGTCCAGGGTACCCAGAAGAAGTTGGATCCAAACGCATACAGATCACACAGATTCACCCAGTATAGTTTTCTCCTGTGGGAATCTCCAGGGAAACCTCGCGTGCTGCATCCGGATCTGACATTCAGGTTGTGTGACATCGCTTGAACATTCTCAGCCAAGCATCATGAAAGCCATCCCGATAAAGTTTGTGAAGCTTTTCCTTAACAGAAAACCTAAACCCATACAATTCAAAGTAGTTCATGTATTACATAAGAGCCTTTCGGAAACTTTTGACTGCTCACGGTCTCGCTTTGCATTGCTGCTTGCGGTGTCTCGTTTGAAGGCACACTTAGCTCATGCCAAGACACTACATATTCCACCACGCCCGACTCTTTGGGAAACCACGCTGCTAAGCAGTCTTGCCTGGAAGTTTGCAGGCATCGCATGTCTTCCACCGACCAAACCCATAGAAATGCAAACAATTACATTGATTATATCATATTACATGCTTAAGGTCCTTTCCTTGCATAACATGCATTTTTATCTCCACCCTCGAGACGAACATGCACATGCATAAACAGTCATAAGCACGCACACACACTACACATCTGTACATATACGGTCATATATATATATATATAATTATATATATACACATATAAGTACTTATATATATATTGTGAATCTCACCCTGGAGTTTTGGGGTTTCCCTGACCCTGTGCAAAGCCCTGCTATGCTGTTTTCCTTCACCAGTTCCGAGCCATGTAGCTCCACTGCCCACCCACCTCTGTGAAGCGGAAAAAGGGCCACGGTCGAGGACGGTCGAATGGACCAAAAGGCTCTGACCAGCTGCAACTCAGGAGAGTTTGACACACCTTCTCATTTCCAAAACTCCATCCAAAACCTTACTGGAGGTATCAAATCAAAAAGAAGCTGGTTGAACCAGTCCAAGGACGATCCTGTTTCTGAAAAGCTCGAGTTCCAACCCAGTAGTCACTTTCCACTCTATTATCCCCAAACCTAGTTACCCTACGAGCACTAAGTTTTCTGATATCCACAGGGCAATCAGCGATCCCAATAGGTGTAAACCTCACAGTCCTGGGTTTTTGATGTACTCGAATCAATTCAGTCTTGGATCCCCACGTCCAGTAATCATGCAAAGACGAAGATTTCATCTCGTTGACAAAATTGACACTTTCGGACAAAAGTCCCTCGGAGGTCTCTGTTTCTTTCTTTTGATTCTTAACCCAACTGATACGCTGCCTACGATCCAAACGCTCTCTGAGAACATTCTCCTCATCTCGAAGGCTATAAAAACCCGATTTGAGACACTCTCTGAGGACCTGTGAGTCCATAGACTTTGTCAGGCAGTCCGACAGCATCGCTTGCGACGAAACCCATCGTGCAACACAGTTTTCTCGTAACCTCTCCCTGATCAACAAACACTCAATGGTTGTCCTATGCTCCGAGCACTGGGGAAGGGCAGTCCTTGTCAACAAGTCATAGGCACCCTTACAGTCAGTGACAAGAGCAGAGGTACGTTCCTCCAGGAGAAGTTTTTCTGGCTGTCTCCAGTTGCACTCAGGATTACGAACCCAGGCCCACAAAACTCTAATCCACATGAGCCTGTCCACCGAATTACACAAAGCAGCTGCTTCAGCTCCAAGCGTGCTTCTTACAACTCTCGGAATTCTTTTGCTGGTCCAAGCAACCGGTGCTACAACAGATCGCCGATTATCCAACAACGCCGGAGTAGTAGCAAAGATCAGGGTCCCCTGATGAGCACAATTTTGTTTGTTTGAAAGAAAAGAAGCATCCGAGAAAGCACAGTATGTTACATCCTTGGGAGCAATTGGCAGCACCATTAGGGACACTGGATTTTGTTTTGCTTCAGCCAAGACCTTATTTGCGGTCAAGAGTTCATTCACAGTCGCTCTACAAACTGCCGACTGCAACTCTCCTACTTTCGCTGAGATGTCAGGTCTAGTGTGAACTGCAGCGTACTGCAGTGCCCCGACCAGACTTCTAAGTTCGCTACGTTCAGCATCATTTAACTCCGCACTGGGTTGACTTCTCCTTCCTTTGGTCACAGAAATGGGTGCAATCTTCTCGATATAAGCTATCTGGTCATACTCTATGCTACAGTCATCCCATTGACGGAAATCGATGCCCATATATTTGAAAGACCGCTTTTCAAAAGACCCAAACTTGAAACGACTTTCGACACGTTTGAGCATGGCCAAAAACTTTTCATCACCACCTGCAATCCCATCATCGACATGAATGCCGAGTGTTCCATGGCACTGGGCTTTCCCGTGGTGATCTTTAGAGTACATTCCAAACACGCATGGATCAAGAGGACATTGGGTACATCCTTGACGAAGCAACTCATCCCGAAATTCACAGTACCACAAATAGGGGGCATCAATGCGACCATAAGCCCCCCCATCTAGTGCACACTGATCACTTCCAGTCATCCCCAAAGCCTCCCTAAGTTCGGGTGGAGGATGTATACCCAATTCTCTTCCATCTCCTTTTCCATGCAGAAAGGCCGTGCTAACGTCAAAAGACAGCAATTCCCACCCATGTGAAGCTACAGACTGCAACACAGCCTGACGACCATCCTTTGAAAGGGTGGGTGCATCGTTGACCACCGTGTCCAGTCCAGGGTCTTCGAAACCTATGATGACGAGACGTGCCTTTGCACGTTCGCCTTTGGAAGACAGCTCCTCAGGAGCCTCGGTTCCGGTTGCACTTTTCCAGTTGAGAATCCACCTGCACCTCATCAAAGCATGCTCAGGAATCCTACCACCAGAAACCTTCCTTACTGTTTTATGATGCAACCATGCCCCGATCTCCTTGTGTTTTGCCGCGGCAAACAAACGTTGGTCATGCTCCCCAAGTTCTTTCAACTTTACTTCTACTCGTTTCTTTCGCAGTTCCGATGCGAGAAAAACAAAGTCTTCAGCTGACTTGTGATTTCCAGGCAGATCCCAAAACTCTCGATGTTCTACGGATTCAGGGGTTACGTCCACTTCCCAAACCTTAGACCCCAACCCCTCACCACACTCCAACGTATCCCCAAACATTGCACTCTCTTCTTCAGTCAACTCCCCAGGGTTAGCTTCAGGGATTGGAGCCTCCAACGGATCCCTTGGATTATGTGTGTCAGCTGGAGGGGCAGCATCTCTTGAATTTTCATCGTTTGCCATCGGTTCATGTCCTGATTCCGATGAATTGCTAGGCGCTTGTTCAGGCTCAGGAAGACTGCAACTATCATCAATTGGAGACGAACCCTCTACCACATCACCCTCACCAGGTACATCTGCCCCAAGATCGAAAAAGTCCTGAAGCTGGGCCCTCTTCAACCAATCTGATGTGGCATGCTTGGACTCCTCACTTTTCTGTACAGCTTTCCATTCCCTGAACGACGCCGGACGCAGCTGCTCAGGACTTGCTCGAATCAAACGGTTGGCATGTGACAGCCAAATGACCTTGGTGCCTTCAACCATAGCTACCCTCGCCGGACCAAACCACTTTCCTCTCTCTCTCCTCATATTCCCCCCAACCTTTCTCCAATAAAGAACCCAATCACCAATTTCAAAAGGATCACGGAGAGGTCTGCTCCGGCGTAACAACGCTCTGCGAAGGCTGCTACAATTGTCGGCTTCGACAAAAGCTTTGCGTGCTCGGCTTCTTAATTCCAACGCACGCCGAAACTGGTCGCTGTCAGTGCCCTCATCAGCTGCTAAAACATGACTTGCTGTACCTTCCCCAGATGTTATGGACGCCGGAAGTCTCCGAGCAAAACCCAGGACAGCTTGTTCAGGGGTGTATCCATGAACCCTTGACAAGGTATTCTTCGCTGTAAAAACCTGTCTTAAATTTTGTCGGAAACTTTCCAAATCCAAAATGGGTGATTCAGCATTCATACGGTCCAGCATTCTCTTGACCACATGTCCATGAGATTCCACCCGTCCCAACTGCCAGTGTGAGTCAGTGGCCGTCATTTTGAGAGAAACATCTTCACTCTGCATCTTACTCAGCCATTCCCCCCCCGTATACTCCTTTGCAGGATCCAAATACACCTCTTTGGGGGGACCAGCCCATGACAACCACATGTCATCAAAACACCGGATTTGTGACACCGCATCATCTCCACATGCTCTTCCCAAATGAAACAAAGTACCCTCATCCAAAAAATGAAGAAAACCAAACGTAACCCCATTATCATTGGTCCAATATGCCTTGTCAATACCAACAACTTCATTGAAATTCAGGTGCTTGTGGATGGCTGCAGGACGTGCCAAGGAGTACCCCTGTCGGGATTCACTGCATGCATCACATTGATACTCCAAAGCTGCTGCCACCAGATGCGGGTCTACGTGAGTGCTTTTCAGAAACTGTGCCAATCGATTCGGATCAGGATGACCCATTCGATGGTGAACCCTCTTGAGCCATTCTTTCTCCTCCCCACTGAGCTCCAAAAACCGGGGCCCGTGTCTTGCTATCCCCTTTGGAGGATATCCCTGCTCACATCCCAAATCCCCACTTATTTCACCATCATCTCCTCTTGGGTTTTCTGTTTGGGGTTCACCAACACACGGACGTTTCGGCACAGCAGCAGGAAGTGGTTCTCCCTCACGTTTCTGGGACATTTGAACATCAGGACTCACTGTTGGATATGCAGTTGTTTCTGGAGTAGATTCAACTCTTGAGTCACTTGACACTCCAAAAGGTTTCCCAAACACTGTGATACTCAACTTGGCCGGCTTGGCCTTGACGGCCCGCTTTGTCCTTGGAAGCTTGAGCCATTCCTCGGGATCCCCAAGTTGTTCAACCTCTCCAGAAACCCGATGCATGATGAAAGTCTGGCGAAGTGGAATATCCGATTCCTCATATTCGCCCTTGGGTAAACGGAAACGGTCCGTTCCTCGGCACAGTTCCACCGCTCTGACTTGGAAATTGGTACACAGTTTCTTCACGTCTTCAAAAATTACTTCCCCTTCATGAACCACAACAGTCCCAGCCCTTGGAGCCCTAAGCTCAACCCTTCTAAAAACATCCTCCAAAAATTCTCTTCTGGGTTTCTTATGGGAAAGTTCTTGTGTGACGCTGGAACTTGTCAGAGCCTTACGGTGGCTGGAACAGCGACGTGCTTTCAGCTCGCCCGCAAAGACCAGTTGTTCTTGGGAGACTTTTGGCTCTATGCAAAGCTCTGCAATTTCCAATGGAAGCTCACGAGAAACACGACTCCTCAACAAATACCAACAAATATTCTTTGCAAAGCCATTGGAATACCGAGCTGCATATTCAGAAAGATTGATCCTTCTCCCAAGATACCGAATGGTTCCTTCAATCGGCTGATGATTGTGACGCTTTTTGCAGTATCTGGAGTCCAAGGTTTCATGGAGCTCTCGTGAAGTCGTGCGGACAACACTTCTTTTCCTAAGATAGTTGTTCCCCTTAGGTACCCTGAGCTTACCAACCTCACACATATCAAAAACAGCACGAAGAGTCCCCTGAACTATTTGTCCCAGAACTTCCTGACCAAAAACTTCTGAACCCTGAGGTTGCTCCATGTGAAAATGCCTCCCATTTACTACCTGATATTCATAAACATCGTTGCACAGTGCTAGATGTGTTTGTTCTGCTGTGCGACCATGCTCAATTCGTTCTCTGGTAGCTTGGCTGCGGCACATATTCAACCGACTGAAGTTGCCCCAAAGCTTGCACTCTGGCGACATCCAGACATCCCGCGGGTTCTCCTTGAGAAGTACTGCCCAGAGTGCTGATTGACCCTGAGGGGTGGACAAGTCTCCGTCAGCTTTGGTAAATCTCCTGGCCTTGAGGCCCATCTTAAGTGCTGTTTCCGTCAACTGTGAGTTCTCTTCACAATAGACTTCCAGTAAGTCAAGTTTACACTTCTCATTGGGCTGCATCTTAGTGGACAAAGACTTATCACGTGGTACATCGACCTCCCAAGTCAGTGCCAGCATTGCGTCCAACTCCCTTTGAATCACCCTGGTAAGTCGTTCTAACTCCGGACCACATTCAGAAAGATTTGCCGGAGTGGACATCAACTTGCCTGGCTCATCGTGCACGGATGCTGGAGTCACTGAGCTGGGACCATTCAGATGTCTGTGTTCTTGCGCATCTGGTCGAGCTCCCTCTGAAGGATTGCGATATTGGTGATCAGGCGCTGCTCTTTCTCCGTGTCCTTCACCAGGGCCATCTCGGACGACTCGGCGACTTCGGGACTCAAGCTGCGCTTCGGTGGAGGGGACAGTTCCACTCCTTCCGTCATCAATTCCCATTCCAGACCTGAGACTTCGTGATGCCAAGGAGACGTCGGATTCGACACCGTTCCTGCCACTGTCTTCGAGGAACTTCCCCCCCGTGTCTTCGGCTTGCATGGCATCTGCTGCAGAGAGGTCAGGTTCATGGCCCGGACATAGTTCTGGAAGCTCAGTGCCCAGGGATTTGTCAGGTTGGGATGGTTCATCATGAACGCACGGTACTTGAAATCCTGGTCGTAGATCATCTTGAAGGTCTCTCCCGAGTGCTTTCCTTCGGGAAAGATCTGTGAGCCCCACTCCTCCATCGTTTTCACTCCTTGAGGACGGCGAATGGTTGCCTTGGTGGGACATGCATAGTTCAGACTGGAGTCTTCCGGAAACGGCAGCTCCGAAGAGTTCTTGTTGGATCCCACCACTGCCACTTGGTTGCCCTTCACATCCGCCATGAGTCGAAGCTGTGAAAGGAGTTAACGGACTTGTCGAGGGAAAAGAGAGAGCCGCGTCAGCTGCTGGGCATGCTGCTGGTGTTTCTCCATTGGCTGCTGCAGTATGCTCATGGGTGCTTTTCAAAGACTTTTCACAAGCAAATGTCACGACTTCACAACTGCTTAAAACTTGTTTCTTCTGGCTTGTTGTTGCAAACACCTCCAAAACCCTCGATAAATCAACTGTAAACAAACCCTTGTGATTGACACTCAAAGGAACCCGTCTGTCAACACCCCAAAAATACAACTCATTGCTGCCAGACAAGACATCAGCCGATGTGGATTTCAGAAAAGCATTTGAAAGAAGGAATGGTGTTTCGCCTGCCACAACTTCTAAACGCATCCAACGACAACCAATAGGCAAATACAATGCTCCAACACTAGACAAAGTTCCATTGTTTCCAAAGCGAAACACCGTATCCGACTTTCCCCACTGAACTTTCGATCGCACAGAAACGGGAAGACTCTCGATCAGCCTTTTTACTTTGCGCTGTCCAATCACCGATTTGCTGGCTCCAGTGTCTATGATACCTGGACATCCTACCTCCGCACTCAAAACAGTCTCACAGTCATGACTAGTCCTGAAAGACGAAATACCAACAACACCCTTCAAACGACTCTCAAGATTTGCAAGATTCAGTGATCGGACAACTTCAAAATTGTGGTTTGTTCCAGTTTTGAACTCCGTCATAAAAAATGAATTCTTCATTAACACAGGAATCCTCAATTTGAGACCCTGAAAACTCAAGAGATGGGTGGCTGTTCAAACATTTCTTTTGGCAGTCCTGGTGGCCTGACAGAAGATCATGAAGTTCCAAAGGACTAGAAGACGTCGGCAAGTCTTGGATGATCTCTTCGGCAACGCTGCTGCTCTTCACCTCCAGGGCCATGTTGACATCCGCATTTGATGCCGTGGTCGACGATCCTCCCCGTTTGGGGCATTCCCACTTCCAATGGCCCTTCTGGCCGCAAACTCTACAGTGTGAGGCCGCAATGCGGTCAGCAAGACTTTGACGTCTCTTGCCGCCCCCTTTTCCACTGAAACCTTTGCGCTGACCCTTTCCCTTTCCTTTCGGTGGCCAAAACCCTCGAGACTTGATCTTGTCCCTGATGCGTCCCCTGGCGTCAGAGTACGCCGAAAAGCACAAGCTCAGCTCTGGAGATTCTTGACATACCTCCAACAACTGATCTTCAAAATCAGCGACTATCTGAGCATCTTCATCCCCTTGATCGACTAAGGTTTGGAGAATCCAATCTTCGTCGAAGTGCTCCTCTTCGGCAACATGATGTACCTCTTCTGGTTCATCATCCACGTAGTTCACTGGGTAAACTTTGCGTTTGGAATCACTGGTCGAATTGCTTCCCAATACCTTGGTGTACAACGTTCTCATGGCTGCCTCAATCTTCTCGGATTCCAACTTTCCATTTGTCATCACAATGACCTTGCGCTTGTCATCGGCAGTCAAAGAGCTCTGCCGGAGAAGTATGAAGGCTTTCATGTCCTTCACGTTGACTTCACCAAGTTCCATGAAGGCAACGTTCAACCGATTCACAAAGCTCATGTTGGTCTCGTCGGCCTTCTGGATGATCCTGTAGAGCGCCTTCTCGAATTTGTCATAGGTCTGCAACTCAGCCGCCTCCTCCCAAGTTGCAACTGCAGACAACAAAACTTTTATCCCTTGTTCAGGATCAGCAAGCTTGGCCGCGTCGGCCGATTTGATCTGTGCCCAAGCCGTGCCCTTCATCAACATGGCAAGGCGAGGGGCTAACATGCTCTTGTCCTTTGGTGGACAGATGGAGTGCAAGAATTTGACCTTGTCCACATACTCTCGGGGATCATCTGTAGATGGATCGAAAGAAGGGAGGATGGACCAAATGGAACTAGTCCTGTCCTCAGATTGCCCTGCGCCGCTCTCAACAGCAGCAGACATGGCTTCCGGCAAAAGGGTCCCCTGTCTCGTATTGAGACCAGAGGAGTCAGATGCAAAAAGAGATGCTGTAGTAGTGTTCTGAAACCACTTTCAAATTAAATGCACCGCACTGAGAGGAACCCAGCTTCAACCCCCAGTAATTTAATTTCCAAAGAAGTCCTATGCCCCTTATTTTGGGGCTCCGCTACCAATGTGAATCTCACCCTGGAGTTTTGGGGTTTCCCTGACCCTGTGCAAAGCCCTGCTATGCTGTTTTCCTTCACCAGTTCCGAGCCATGTAGCTCCACTGCCCACCCACCTCTGTGAAGCGGAAAAAGGCCCACGGTCGAGGACGGTCGAATGGACCAAAAGGCTCTGACCAGCTGCAACTCAGGAGAGTTTGACAATATATATATATGTGTGTGTGTGTATGTATACTTATACGTGTCGAAAAATATTATAAGGTCATGAAGAATTATGCGCGCGCTGATACCCGCGGCAGAGTTATACGCGCGGATCGTGCCAGAAAATGCAGCACAAATGCCATGAACAATTCAGATTCCATCTCATTGCTGGGCGCCCTCCGTAACAACTCCAAGGTAGCATTTAGTTGATGGAGCTCATGAAAGTCATTGAAAGCCCGTGTGCAGAACAAGGTACGCGTCCGGGCTCTTGACAAGAGCATTAAAGACCTCATACCATCCCTCGTCACGGACCGGCCACACCTGAGCGAAGCAGCATGAATCTGCTAAGCACCGAAGGTGCGGGAAGCGAATAGCTCATAAAAAATGGCGAAAAGTGTCACAGTGCCCATTGACACAACATGACGCGACTGCATTTAAAGCCAAAAGGCTGGATTCATAGGAAAACTGTAGCCATCCTGGACTCTTGCGAGTAGAAATTCCAGCAAACCTGCCGCTGAGCCACTACTGCAGGACTGTAGTGGGCTTGGGCTATACGGCTATATGATGCTATATGGCTATACGAATGAATAGGCAGCATGCTTCGGCTATAATTAGGAAATCCATGGAAATGGATACCCACGACATATCATCTCACAACAGCAGAGCGCATCCGAGCCATGTTCATGGTACATGGCACAAGGTATGCCAATTGCACATATTTCAACGTTCTCCGAGACTCAAGGCACATCTAAGGAGCTCCCCCGCCTGCTGAGTTTCGATACGACCACGGCTTCCCTTCGAAGCCATCCCAAATGATTAGGTACTCTGAGTCCAGTTCCTCAACAAGTTTGGGGGACATGATTGTCTGGTGAACCGAAGCGGCAGAACAAATCCCAAGTGTTCAGGAAGATACACTCAGATCACTCAGCAAACCAGTAGTAACTCAGTAGTAACTCAGTAGTAAAGTGATATAAAGTGGAGGTCCTGAGGGAAGTAGAAGTTGAAGCACTCTGCCCCATGCCGCACAGCACCACACATTTTGGTGGCATCAATGACTTCTTTGGTCAATCTGTAGGACGTGGGGTCTCCAAATCCAAATTCGGGGATCTCGGGGTGAAAGCCTTGGCGCAACATGGCACGATTCTTTTAGGCCTGGACCGGCCTGTGAAACGTTGTGAAACTTAAAATGCAAACGCAATCTGAACACGACCTGAACACAACCTGAAATACGCTGCCTTCCGCCATCCTTCCGCCCAGTCTCCTTCTCTGTCTGCATCGTTAAGGATCTCTAACCATCTGGAGTTCCAGCTCGAAGAACTTGGGGAGAAAAGAATTTCTTCAGTGCGCTCCAAGCTCCAACGCATCAAAGCCTGAGCAACAAAAGATAATAAAAATGCTTTCGTGGGAAACTCGGGAAACTTGGGAAACTCATAAGAAACTCCTTGGAACATCTTGGAACTTCCTTGTGGGCCTGCACCAGCCTGCTTTTGACTCTCTCTCTCTCTCTCTCGCTCCCTCCATCATTCTGAGAAAACATTTTAAGCATTAGTTCTTTTACAATGCAAAATAATGTTGGCAAGGAGCCTGCTGCTCCTCACAAATAGGTTCATAGATCATTCCCCGACTGCCAACCGTGAAGGTGTCAAAATCCTGGGCACAAAGATGTGGAGAGGGGGAATATAAGGTTTCAAGTGCCAACTCTTTTTGGGTTTTGAAAGGTAGGGCACAGCCTAGAACACGTGCATTACACGGGCAAATGATCAGAGAAGATTCTACAGTAGCATAACCTGGAAATCCGCTCATTTGAATGGCCAAGGCTCCGAAACCACTGGCTTGACCATGGCTTCGGCATATGCAATAAGTAGACCATGTGGATTCATAGGGTTGCCAGTGTCCTCGAGCTTGCTCAGCTGTTTTATGCTCTTCCAAATCTTCCAATGACACAGGTCGAAGAAAGCATAAGTCATAAGTTGATTGTTGCAATACTTTGAATAATTTGTAATCTGTTGCAAGGCGTCCCAGCCCTGGAAGCGTCGCGTGTCTCACTGCCAAGCATCGTGTTGGTACAGCACCACCTTTGGGCGATTCTTGCTGCGCACCGCATGCAAATTCATCTCCATGAACGCTGGTTCTGAGACGCGTCCCGTTTCCCATCCAACCTGGTCAAAAGGAAAGCAGAAGAACGGGACACTCAACACACGTAAACAGGACATTCAAATAGCCGAAGCCTTTGGTGCGTCTATGTCTGTGTGGTTGTCAGCCCATGTGAAAGCGTCAACCAAAGACTACCCTTACTTAGGTACCCGCCATGCAGTGCCTGGAATGTAATATCAGGACGGACAATGTATGCCTCTCGTAGAAGCAGCTCCGGCATGTCAAGGCCACAAACGTGGGAGTACTTGCTGTCAATCCTGCATTCATTTGCGGAAGGAGAATTATCCATCCCAAACAATCCAAACAGATCCAAACTATTTTTGAATAATGTATATATAATGATATATATAATAATATATAATTATATATGTGTGTTATATATGTATGTATTCTCATATTTTCTTGCATTCATTGCATTGAAAGACAGTGCATATCTGGCAGCAAGTACGTCACACCGTCAACCCTCAGCCTGATTGGATCAAGCGCATGATCTCTTTGCAGCTCTTGCATAAGCGGCTCCAATTCCAATCTGGCAAGTTCTTGCTGTTCTTTGGACTGGAAGTACACGACGACCCGCGAGTTCTCAGGACATCGTCCAAGCCTTCGTTTGTGTTTGTTGTCGCTGATTTGTAGGAAGGGCACGAAGCCGGAAAGGTGATTCCGCTTGGCGGACTTTCCCTTGACATTCAAACCCTTCCCAACGGCAGTCTGATTTAACATCCTTGGCTCAATGGCATTGATTCGGGTTTGCAACGGCGATTAGTATGGCAGCTTCACATGTCTCACCATTGATGAGATGGTGGGAGTCTGTGCATCATGCATCTCTTGCAGCATGCTACACAAATGCCTTAACAACCCCTCGACAAAACCGAAATCGTATGAAATCGTTGCGCATGCAGATTCCGGACTACTTGACTGATCATCGTCGAAACATCTCGAAACATTCCAAATATTCAAACAAAAACAGGGTGATAAAATGTGACAGGAGACTTCGCCAATGCGTCGCGGCTAGTAGGCCGATAGACCGCAAACCAGTGAGTCTGCAGATTGCCTCGAGCTGGCGCAACTCCACCTGGCCCCAAGCCACCTCCAGGGCTGTAGAAGTCAGCCAAAATCTTCCGAGGATCACTGGCATAGTTCTCCCTTTGCTTGATGTCCAAGGAGCCTGAGACCATCCAAGGCTCGAAGTGACAGCAAGTGCATGCAACTAAAGCAGTGACATTGCGCAATCATGCCACTTGGAAGAGCAGAGAAGATTGAAGAAGACCGTGGCTCAGGTGCACACATGCAAGCATCAGTATCCCCACAACAAGAAACATGGCAAGCATGATGGTGATACAGTAAAGGTTCAGAATCTGCCGGCCTGCCGGCGTGTTTGATTGGAACGGGTTGTTTTTGTTTCTGTTCTTGGTTTGTACAAGCGGGTGCCCTTAGTTACCACATCTACCCAGTAGTTGCCCCAACCGCAAGGCACACCGAGTTGCCCCAGGGCAGACAGTAGTTACCCCAGGTGTCAAATCCCAACGGCACAGCGGCTCAGATGCATCATGTTTTGAAGCCGTTGCAAGCTTAGAATCATGTCCCTAGGTTGCGTTCAGCTATGCCCGGAATCAGAATATCGGAAGGTGCGACCTGTCAACTTGGAGTCAAATCTCAATGGCACACCGCCAACAGCAATTCCAGGTCAAAAGCTTAGCCAAGCATTGAAACAGCATCACCAGCTTGCGTTCTGGTACTCCCAAAAGAAACAGAATAAAGGGTTTCCATTCTCATTAAAGCCAAAACCCCAATGGCACACCTGCAGGAGAGTGGAAGACTTTCCCAAACAAAGTTTGAAATTGATCTCATTGAAATCACACCCTCCCTTGCTGTAACGGAATGCCAATAGCGCAGCGGCAAGACACCACACAACTAATTTTTCCCTGACAGCGTAAGCTAATGGGGTCTTCAACCCAGAATGGCTCCGGTGTGCGCTGGTGCAGGCGCCGGGTCAAGTTCAACCAGGTTACGGAGAAGGTTCCGAAGGTTCCGGTGAAGGTTCCAGGAAGCCTTGGTGCAAAGCCAAGTCAGGTTCAACAGGGTTCCGGAGAAGGTTCCGGACAAGGTTCCGGAGAAGGTTCCGGAGGTTCCGGAGAAAGTCGGGGAGGCTTTGGTGCAGAGCCAGGTCAGGTTCAACAGGGTTCCGGAGAAGGTTCCGGAGAAGGTTCCGGAGAAGGTTCCGGAGAAGGTTCCGGAGAAGGTCTTGGAGGCTTTGGTGCAGAGCCAGGTCGGGTTCTTCAACAGGGTTCCGGAGAAGGTCCCAAAGAAGGTTCCGGAGAAGGTTCCGGAGAAGGTCTGGGAGGCTTTGGTGCAGAGCCATGTCAGGTTCAACAGGGTTCCGGAGAAGGTGGTCTGGGAGGCTTTGGTGCAGAGACAGGTCATGTTCAACAGGGTTCTGGAGAAGGTCAGGTTCAACAGTTTCCAGCGCTTGGCTTCGCAGCACGCTTCAGAAAGATGTGTAAAAATAAAACGTTGCGGCTGTTGGGGATACCAGCGAAGCTTATTCTTACTTTGGCGCCGAGACATATGGAATATGGATGAAATAGCAGAATCATGACTCTGGAAAGGCTTTTGGACGAGGTACCGGACGAGATACCGGACGAGGTACCGGAATTGCATTTTGCCATCCCAGCCAGGACACACCCCACGTATCCCCACGTCAGATCAAAAACCGTAAATGGTGAAAACAATGTGGATAGGTCCGAAAGATCTAAGCAATAATTATCCCGGCAAGAGGCCACAAAAAGTGTGGGGAAGTGGGAGGATAATGTATGATAATGTGGATGATGACGATGATGATGATGATGAGGAGGAGGAGGAGGATGAGGAGGATGATGATGATGATAACGATGAGGAGATGAGGAGGAGGAGGAGGATAAGGATGAGGATGAAGGCCATAATTTTGCGAGCGATGATGTTGATGATGATAATGTTGAGGAGGAGGATGACAAGGATGATAATTAATGTTGCGGAAGAGGAGGAGGAGGAGGATGTTGCAGAAGATGAGGTGGAGGATGACGATGTTGAGGATGATGATGTTAAGGGGGAGGAAGAGGATGATGCTGAGAATGATGATGTGGAGGAGGAGGAAGATGATGATACTGAGGAGGAGCAGGAGGAGGAGGACCGATCACAAGACCCAGGAGTGGACACACTGTGTGGGAAACTCACATTGCTCCAGGGATTGTTAGGGGGCAAATGGATAGATATAATATGATATAATTAATGTTTGCAATGTTAAGAATGCCTGTGTGCCTATGTGTTCTGCTGTAAAGATCATACCAAATGACAAATCATGTAGTAATTCATTCCAGTGGTTGTGTCACCTCTTCCGCATGGCACACCGAGATGAGACAACAAAGTGCTACCTGAGACAACTTAGGGCTTTCACCCAGAACTTGTTCCTTTGTTCTCTTGCTGCGCGTTTTTGCTTCGTCTGAATCCAGTCCACCCCCACCTACTCCTACTACTCCTACTACTCCTACTACTACTACTACTACTCCTACTACTCCTACTACTCCTACTACTCCTACTACTCCTACTACTCCTACTACTCCTACTACTCCTACTACTCCTACTACTCCTACTCCTACTACTACTCCTCCTCCTGCTGCTGCTGCTGTTGCTGCTGCTGCCAATTTCCCAAACCACTCCACGCTCTGCTACTACGCCTACGCCTACGCCTATGCCTACTACGCCTACTACGCCTACTACGCCTACTACGCCTACTACGCCTACTACGCCTACTACGCCTACTACTCCTACTACTCCTACTACTCCTACTACTCCTGCTACTCCTACTACTCCTACTACTCCTACTACTCCTACCCTACTACCCCTACTACTCCTCTTTCTACTCCTCTTTCTACTCCTCCTACTCCTACTACTCCTACTACTCCTCTTTCTACTACTACTACTCCTCTTTCTACTCCTACTATTCCTCTTTCTACTCCTCTACTCCTCTTTCTACTCTTTCTACTCCTCTACTCCTCTACTCCTCTACTCCTTCCTCCCTTCTTCCCCAAGTACTGAACTGGTAGTGCCGGTAGCTAATGACACTGCCTGCAGCACTACAGTCGTCTACAGGTATTCGTCATTCGTCACAGGACGCACACGGTACTAAATTGATCCACCAGTATTCATTTGGTATGCGGTCCATAGGTTGTTCCAAGCAGGCACTTGCTACTCAAGCTGCTTCTGATCTACGGCTCTGTCTTCGTCTCTTCTTCTTCTTCTTCGGCTTCTCTCTCAGACTTCCACCTAGCGTGCACATCAACTTCCCTTGGGGCAATCTCTCTCCGCTTCCCGTGTCTCCTTCCATGCAGCGGCCTGCTGTCAAGCCAGAGGCTCATACATAGTACCTGGCGCTACTTTGCTGGGGGCGGTACTAATTTGGTATACGATCAAAAGGTTGTTACAGCCAGCACTTGCTACACAAGCCGCTTCCGTTCTACGGCTTTGTCTTCGTCTTCCTTTCTTATTCTTCTTCTTCTCCTTCTTTTCTCTTCTGCTTCTCTCGTGGGCTTCCACCTAGAGTGCACATGAAACTCCCTTGGGGCCGCCTCTCTATGGCCGGCGGGCTTGCCGAAGGCAATTAAATAGTTTTTGTTTTTTTTTTGGCTCAGGTTTTGGATTTTGTTTTGGCTTTCTTTCCTGGTACCATTTGCCTTGTATTTGCAACAGTTTGGAACTAGAATCTGTCATTTTGCATGGTATTTGCTACATTTTGGCATGGTTACTTCGCATTCTGCATGGTATTTGCTGCATTTTGGCATGGTTACTTTGCATTTTGCATGGCATTTGCTACATTTGGCCATGTTCGCCTTCCATTTTGCATGGTATTTGCTACATTTTGGTACTTCAAACGTTCATGTGGGTTTCTTGAGACTTTCTTTAGGCTTTCATTTAGGGATTCATTTGGGTTTTCATGTAGGGTTTCATTTAGGGTTTCATGTAGGGTTTCTTTAGGGATTCTTTAGGGTTTCATTTAGGCTTTCATTTAATGTTTCTTTAGGTTTAGTGTTTCTTTAGGGTATCATTTAGGGTTTCATTTAAGGGTTTCTTATCATGATTTCTTATCAGGATTTCCAAACGTTCATGTGGGTTTCTTTAGGGCTTCTTTAGGGTTTCATTTAGGGTTTCATTTAGGGTTTCATTTAGGGTTTCTTTAGGATTTCATGTAGGGTTTCTTTGGATTTAGGGTTTCATTTAGGGTTTCATTTTAAGGTTTCTTATCGGGATTTCTTATCAGGATTTCCAAACGTTCATGTGGGTTGCTTTGGGGCTTCTTTAGGTTTCATTTCGGGTTGCTGTAGGGTTTCATTTAGGGTTTCATTTAAGTTTTCATTTAGGGTTTCTTTAGGGCTTCATTTAGTGCTTCATTTAGGGTTTCATTTAGGGTTTTGTATGGTTTTATTTAGGGTTTCATTTAGTGTTTCTTTAGGGTTTCATTTAAGGGTTTCTTATCGGGATTTCTTACCAGGATTTTCAAACTTCCGCGTGGGTTTCTTTAGGGCTTCTTTGGGTTTCATTTAGGGTTTCATTCAGGGTTTCTTTAGGGTTTCATTTAGGGTTTCTTTGAGGTTTCATTTAGTGTTCTTTAGGGTTTCTGTAGGGTTTCATTTAGGGTTTCATTTAGGGATTCTTTAGGGTTTCATTTAGGGTTTCATTTTAAGGTTTCTTATCGGGATTTCTTATCAGGATTTCTTATCAGGATTTCTTATCAGGATTTCCAAACGTTCATGTGGGTTTCTTTGGGGCTTTCATTTAGGGTTTCATTTAGGGATTCTTTAGGGTTTCATTTAGGGCTTCATTTGGGGTTTCATTTATTTAGGGTTTCATTTAGAGTTTCATTTAGGGTTTCATTTAGGGTTTCTTCACGGTTTCAGTTAGGTTTTCTTTAGGGTTTCATATGGGTTTCATTTAGGGTTTCGTTTACGGGTTCTTCAGGGTTTCAGTTTGGGTTTCATTTAGGGTTTCATGCAGCGTTTCTTGGAGTGTGGTTGAGGTTTTGTTTAGGATGGCCATTTAGGGTTCCATTCAAAGTTTCGTTTCATTTATAGTTTCTTTAGGGTTAATTTATGGTTTTTTTAGGGTTTCATGTAGGGGTTTCTTTTCAGGAGTTCTTATGAGGATTTCTTTAGGGTTTCTTTGGGCTTCACCTAGGGTCTTTAGGGTTTCATTTAGGATACAAACAGGAGAGAATGAAGCAAAAGAAAACAAAAAAAACAAAGAGGCAGTAAAGACAGAAAGCAGAGATGCAGAGGAGCAGGAAGCAGAGCAGCAAAAACACATGACTGAAGAAAAGAAAAAACATAATAGTAGAAGTAGACAGGCACAGAAGCACAAAAGCAGAAAAGCAGAAAAGAAGCACGTAAAGCAGAGAAGCAGAACAGCAGAGAAGCAGAACAGCAGAGAAGCAGAACAGCAGAAAAGCAGAAAAAATAGAACCAGGACCCCCCCCAAAAAAAAAACTGCCGCGAAATAAATAAATAAATATAAATAAATAGCCCTCCATACAGTCATGTCACGTTTTCAAAAAATAATATGATATGAAGTATGAAGTGATATGATATTATCATATCTGATATGATATATAATTATATAATGGGAGGCCAAAGGCTCCAGGATGAACATGGATCGAAATGATTCGAAATGGATCAAAAGGTTGGACTTGTGGCTGCCAGGGCGCCAACAACACGTTCGAAGACAATCCGGTCCAAGCACAAGAGCTGGGCATTGCTTGTCGCAGTGACAGTAGCCGCGCGGGGCGTCCGATTGATGAAGGCAAGCTCTCCAAACCTCTCGCCCTTACTGTAATATCTTACGGGGTGTTCGTCGAATCCATCACAACCAACCTTTGCAACTCGAATGGAAGCTACGCATTCCCCTTTCAATACGATGAAGAACTCGGAGCCTTCATCGCCTTGCTGAACAATTTTCTCCAGGCCGGAAGCTCCGCTTCTCCATGATATCTGCAATCTTGGCGATGCATTCATCATCGAATGTCTCGAACATAGGCACACCAGTTCGCAAATACTTTTCTCGTTTGCTTCGTTCGTGCATGGCCGAGCGAGTGACAACATTGAAATATACATCACGCTTCATCTTTCCAACAACTGTCTTCGTCAAAGTTCGAACGTTCATTCGCCTTCTGAAGCCCCACAACATTGTGTGCTCACCAAAGAAGTCTCCTGGAGTAATATTTATCTCGTTTCGAGAAGAACGCTTCAGTAAATTGTTTGCCTCTGCTGCATCAGTTTCCGCAATTGCCATGCCGGAGAGCAGCACATAACCTGGGTCGGTGGAACATCTTGCAGATCGACACATCCATGTCAAATTCTTGATGCCCTAAGCATCCCAAAGCTCTGGGCCCAATCTGAGCAAGTGACCGCTTCGGCCAACATCACCTTTCTTGTAAATAAAGTCAAATGGCTGGAACTCTTCAATCTCCATAGTATCAACCTTAGGACGCCGACAAAATTCAGCGGTTGTTGCCCCAGTGAAACATGGTGGCTGCAGTATCTAAGACCATGTGGTACAGGTTCAGTGTTGGGCGTGTCTTCTACCAGTCATTCAGATCCCCCTCGGAGATCTCCTTGAAGTCATGTGACCAAAGCCTGCAGGATCTCATCATCCAGTTCCTGAGGTCTGGCATTGAACCTACCCCCGAGTCAGAGGTCTGAAGATTCTGCGAAAATGCTTGAGGCGTGTGGAGGCTACTGATACCATTCCTGAATGTCAAAAATAATCAAAGCATATCAAAGCATATTTCGCTCACAACTGAGGCCTGATCCATAAAGAAAGGGCACTTCACTAAGGAAGCCAGCAGAAATTCATGATGCTCTTTCTGCTTCTCGAAGTGTGGGCTTACCCAGTTGACCTAACCAAAACAATCGAGCTGAGAGTTGAGGACCCCAGAGCCCGACATCACCCTTGCTCTGCCATGTTCACTGGAGGGCCTGACTGGTTAGAGTACTTAATTGATCTTACATATCTTACTTATATACGTACTTGAGTCATGGTGAGGCCCCTGCAAAACGCACGTTGAAGGCCCCTGTCGGTACAGCAGAGACGCCTGGCAATGCCGAACTTCTGCCTAAACCTCCTCTTCCCACTCTCTCACCTAAATACATGTCCCATTTGATATACGCCTGATGATCCTGTTGCGTTTTGGGATCCTCGAGTGGCATGTGTTTCAAATAACCCCACAATTTTGTGATCTGCGTGCACCCTATTTTTTCCTTGCTGTCATTTCAACCAACAGGTGATGAGCGTGAAGCTCTCATTCAAAGAGCATCAAAAGCTATGATTTATTCAAAGAGTCGAGACTCATCCCTGATATTATCGGAAAACCGATGTGGAAAGGAGCAAGAAACCCTCAATGAAACCGAAAGTACTGAACTGATGTGGGTTTTTAGGTTCTGCAAGCTAGGACTTTACTTGAAATAGAAAAATGGTTCTGAAATGGGACGTGGTTGGCATGATGGAGGTCTAAAAGCAAAGGCTGCCAAAATGTCACACGGAAAAGTTGAATGGTCAAAGTCAAACCCGTTCTCTTGCTCATGTTGTCAGCATATGTCAAACTATGTGTCAGACTGTCAGACTATATGTCAACATATTATGTCAACTCTATTATCAAATGTGAGCCCTTCTGGGAATTCACCTGGCATCACCTGGCTAGGCCCGACTCTGCGGACACGGTTTGACCCTTTCTAATCTTTCTACCAGCAGTGTGATGCGAGGGCAGTGAGGCCATTTACGTTTGTTTTCTTTGTTTTATATAAGATATTTTAAGTTGCGGATAGCCACGGTGGTTTGTTTTCCATGTTGTTTTCCATGTTTGAAGTGACACTCAGCAGGCCTCCGCGCCGAGTGAGCAAAGCGGCAGGTTCTAATTCCTCGCTGCGGCTCAAGATAATCTGATCACTGGCCATTTCAGGAACCTAAATTGGAGGTACCTACCATATATAAGGCCTATTATATAAGGCCTATGTAAGGGAATATCCCAACAAAATATGATCTTATATGGTACAGTACCTCCATTTTAGGATCCTGAAATTCCCATTGATCTGAGAATGCCGGTGCTTCTCACAGCAGTATGTTCTGTTCAACAAATGAAGCATCTTCAACGTCCCTAGACCTCCCAACATCTTGTTGCACATGTCACCTGCAAATTTGTTTGTCCCCGCAGCCGTGCAAAAGCTGCAAACGTCCTCCACATCACTGCAGTCATCCATGGAGTCGTCCAACTCTGGCTGCCCAAAGTTGGAAATGTTGGAGAGTAGGGGTTCAACTGGATCCTGCAGCATCTGCAGCATCTGCAGCATCTGCAGCATCCGACGCTTGAAAATCCAGACATGCTCTGCCCTACATGGACGTGCAAACGCTGGTCCTGGTCCTCCACGGATTCTCTATCGCCGTCCTCGGATGTGACGGCTGAAAGCGCTCAACAATCTGCTCCATCGCAGGGCGGGATTTCAACCCTCACAGGCCTACCTCAAGCCTTGCTCTCACTGGAAGGCCTCAGAGACCTGAAGGAAGTAATGCTAAGAGGGTAACGGTTGTCTTCGGAAACTAGGTTGTATTCGGAAATTCGGAAACTTGCACCGTGTATTCGGAAACAAACCCTAGACAAACCTTAGAAAAAAAAAAACATACAAACCCCAAATATAAACAAACCCTGAATATCCCTAAATAGTTTCTGAATACGATGTGAAGATACGTGAAGTAGTTTCTGAATACGGCGAGAAGTAGTTCCTGAATACGACGATAGTTTCTGAATACAACGTGAAGAGTTTCTGGATATGAGGAAGTAGCTTCTTATATAATATTATAGTTTCCTAATGCAGCGTCCAGTTTCGGAATCTGAATACAGCGCCCATTTTCTGAAGCGTAGTTCTCAATACAGAAAAGTGTCCGAATACAACTGTTTTCCTAAGGGATTATGTTGAGCTAAATTCAGCCAATCGCTGAGTAGAGATTCTATGCATTCCTATGTAAACTTGAGAAAAATATAAACTTGAGGAAAAGTCTTGCCTGCGTCGATGTGGGATGTCGGTGGGCTACCGAAGAATATGTACACATATTGCACATAAATATGTATATAATTATTTATATATATATATACACATACGCGTGTGTGCGTGTATGTGTGCGTGTATGTATGCGTGTATATATATATATTATTATATATATTATTATATATATTATTATATATATATGTGTGTGTATATATATGCGTATATATATATTATGTATATATATATGTATGTATGTATGTGTATATATATATACATATATATTATGTATGTATGAATAATATATATTTGTATTAATTATTTATGTATATAGTCATATAGTTATCTATTTAAGTCTATTTATTTATTTTATTTGATTTTTTGATTGTATTTACATGTGCATATGGCAAAAGAATGAAAGAGAGAGAGAGAGAGCGAGAGAGAGCAAGAGAGGTGTATACTATAGAGAGAGAGAGAGGGAGATAGGATGAGATAGGGCCTAAGTAAGCTGGTCCATGAATTTGCAACGCTCTTCCTGCAGAATAGATTCTGAGATATCTTCGAGCTGCCTCAAGGTCGGCATGCGACCTGGTGTCAGCGTTCGGTGCAATGCTAGGCGATGGTCTCGATGTGCCTCGGCTGCATGGTTTGCATCCCTGGCAAATTCCCTTCGCCATCTTCCAAGGGGGAAGAGACCGGAAGGGCTTTGTAATCTTTTCTTGCACGAATCGCCGATCAGTTGCCAGAGGCAGCTCCCTTTCAGCCTTCATTTCATCAAACGACACCCTTCTGCGAACGGCCTGACACGTCTGATGTTTGTTCCGCGATGTATTCGACGCATCTGTATACATTTGTCTCATAGTTTCGCCATGTTTCACCTACAGTCGATCAAGAGTGATCAAGCGCAGCTGGCCTCCACTGCATCAGCAAAGTCAACACATGTTGCAAAAGACGGCGATAAGCCTGAGGGTACAGTCGGGTACAGTATAAGTTCGTACAAGTCCATACGATCCGCAACAAACAGCACATTGAAATGCAAACAGTGCGTATCATAAACGTGTATAAAATATACGTAAGTATACAGTAATTATACACATTGTAGGATCAACTGCACACATGGCTAAAGGAATGCTAAAAAGAACACTTTGACGGGTTGTTTCTACCACTGGCCTTAGGAGGCCTAAGGACATGTCAAAAGTATCCGTTCATCTCGGTAAATGGTGCTGTTGCAACTTGGTATATCTGAGGTTGCAACCCTTTCCCAGGCCTGATGCTTTCAACTCAAGCCTTGGAAGGACACCATATAGCCAGGAACAAAAACATAAATTTAAAAAAGCCGCCAATGTTTTTTTTTGATATGACAGGTGCAAAACTTTGGAGTGGAGCATTCGCAGTGCGCAGAAGCTAAGGCTGGAGCTCGGCCTCTGAGAAAATGAAACTCACAAAGCATGCCACATCCTTGGTCTGATGATGTCTGATGATCTGATGATCTGATGATCTGATGATCTGATGATCTGATGATCTGATGATCTGATGCGAGTGGGCCGTCCAACATTTTCTAACCTCCATGCACCTGAGGGACTTCGCATTGCCTAGTCTCAATCCCATCAGCTTCACCTCCATCCATGCCAGCCAAGAGCATTTCGAATTCCAATGCATTGATGGACAAGCGCTTCAATAGTTTCTGAAGAAGGCCTCGCGCACTTGAGACAAGAACATGACTCAGAGGCAAAGGGCTCAGTACTTCGATCAAGGAGTTCCAATCAATAAGTTGCCAAAGTATCATCAGTACAAATCTGTGATTCCTTTCAAAGGAGGTCAAGTAAGTTAAAAGTTAAAAGTGTTCTATCGCCTATTGCACCCAAAGCAATCAGGCTTCAAGCCCGATCTACTTAAATTGGTTGTGCCCCCCCCTCCTTTCCATAATTTTCCATATCTTTCAACACGTGTCTTGGATTCTCCGCAGAAAGGTGCCAGATGTTGCTTTGGTCTATTTTGGTATATTTTGGTCCAAGAAAAGTGCATTCAATTTGGAGTGATTGGAGTGTTTTTATTCTGGCACACTCCCAGAAGCTCTCCTCGATGGATGAGCCCATTGTGAGATGCAGTTTTCAGCACTTCTATGAGCTTTTCGCTGCCATCAGTGTCATCCATGGTACAGGATCTCGAGCCAAATGGTTTTGCATAGTTTTGCATTCGGAATATGTCAATATATGTCAGAGGTCACGAGGGGTGTGCGAGCACGAGGGACCTCGGGACAACCATCTTCAACAAAAAGGGTGACCGGTGGTGACAGATTGGTCACAAAATGATACAACATGAATCAACTTGTGACACAACCATGATCAATCATGATCAACAATATCCAACAATTCCCAATGCCATACTGCCATCCACCTGCAGCAAAGCGCGGTGCTCCTCTGCATAACCCAACATGGGTCCCAGTGTCATCCTGCCTTGGACCCACAAGGTGAAATGAGGCAAAGGCCTGCTCGTGAAGACGAATGAATGGGGGTACCACAGTCACAAAATGTCACAAGATGTCACAAGATGTCACAAAGCCAAGTGCCCGGCACCGGTTCAACACAAAGAAGTTGTGATCATCCCCCAGCTTTTCACAGCTCAGTGAACATTTGGCCACCCAAAAATGTGCTAGCCAATTCTAAGTGCAGTCACTGGTCAACTCGTGCTGAATGAGGTATGGACGTGTGGCGAGATTTCGTGAAATGAATGGAGACAAATCTGAGGTGAAACCGGTAGTCTTTGGCCGATATTCGGCTTCTTGACCCAGACCGGCAGAGGCTCAAATGTGGTTACCCTAGATATCCCTAGATCGCCCTGGCATACCCTGGCAAACACGAAGAACATGGGCCATGGGCATACCCACGGGACGAGACAAATCTGCAAGCCATCAACCAAACAACTTCGGGCGGTGCCAAGATCTGACGTGAAGGCCGTGAAGGGTTAAGCCAAGCAGCTAGCAATTCGCATAGACAGACTTAACACAACATCACGATATCCCCTGTGTTACCACAGACAATGCATTGAGGCAGAAAGAGGGAAAATGTGCTCTGACTCCCGCAATCCAGTAAACAGCGTCAGCTGACAATCACAAAGCAATTCAGTAATGAAACCTCTGAAACCTGCTGTTGCAATACCAAACTGCTTCAGAAATCTGAATCTTTTTCGGCTTCCTCTCCCTCTCTGTGTCTAAGCATGACCTTCCCCCATGAGTTCAGAAGTCAAAGGTGAACCGCAACGCGGTCATGAATTATTTCCGCCAAATACGTCGTGGTCAGTGCGCTCCACCTTCTCAGTTGCCAGCCACCTTAGCATGACAGAAATCTCAATGGCACCACAGCTGCACTTGCACGAGCAAAATTCTCGAGATGCTTTATACTGGAAATGACTTGCAAACTTGATGAGCTCACAAACGTATTTTCGACCACCGTTGCAGCTTCACACTGCCACAATCTGCCCTTTTGAAGGGAGGATTGAGTGCTCCGATTGAGCGATTCTGTGCAGGTGTCAGAACACCAATTTTGCTTCACCCTTTCGGCCTTCAGTCCGAATGTGGCTCGCAACTAAAATGGCATAAGAGGCGTTTAAATTGAACTGCCGCAACACCACCAGATAGAATCTGATCAATACATGCACAAACAAACATGATCCAAAGCACAAGGAAGGCTTTGTTTGTAGGCATCTGCCTCTGCCATGGTTCAGGTATCCGGTCGCCAGAATCCAATTCCAGGCTGAAGCAACAAAAGAAGCAACAAAAAAATACAAGAAATATGCCAGTTTCTGCTCGTGTGCATGTGCAATAGATTTCTGCTATCAAGTCAACACGACATCAGCATATAGGATTGGCCAGCGGTCAGCCTTGGTCTGTCTGTCGCTAGGCAACCTTGATAACCCAAAACTACAAAGTTTCAAAATGTTTCAATGCATTTCGAAGCTCATCCCTTGCACGGATGTGGCTAAGCCCAACAGCACCTCTCATCACGAGAGTTGTCCTGGCTGAGCATACCATCTAAATCTGAATTTAAGCATTAGAGCATTTCCTATGGAAAGTGCTTTGTTTATTTTGTTTTAGACCCGGCTCACTACGCCAGCAGCGCTTCTGTGTCAGTCTGTCTCACTGCCTTGTCATCTGGCAGGAACAGCCGTCGCAACTGCCGCGATGGTCTGATAGCGACAGCTGTGACCAGCACCACCAGCACCATCAGGGAGAGAATCGACCAAGGTCGATGTTTGGCGTCCGAAAGTCCAAGATGTCCAAGTGCAGTCAGCCGCTCCCATAATGTCGTTGGCACCTTCTGGTGGTTAGGGCAATGAGCTGATGCCATACCGAGCCGCCTAGATCCCATGTCGAAGATGGTGTCCCTGTGCAGCATCCACGAGATGCCCAAGATGGTGTCGTGGTTGGAGCTTGCAGCAATCGATAAACACCATATGCCATATCCACGCTCACTCATGTAGCTTCTTGGCTTCCAAGGAACTATCTGGTCACCTGCCCCAGCGCCTTGAAAGCTCAAATGAAGCGTGGGAAAGGTCTCATCAGGCGAGCCATTTGCATCGTTCATGCGCCAGCAGTTCTTATTGGTCTGGTCTTTCTCTGCAGCACAGGAATGATGAGTCCCACAAAATGTGTCTATGTTCAGCAGAAGTCTGTTGAACATTGCCTTGGGAATGTAGGTCAACGTAGTGCCACTGTCCACAATGGTCTTTCCATATTCATGAGGGCTTGCTGCCACCATCAATGAGTCTACATGAAAGGAAATTGGATGCACTACGTAGTAGCCTCAGTTGCTGACATGCTGGATACATCTGTGGATACTTGGAATGCAAAGACACAGATGTTGCACTTTAACTGCCCACTGGTCTGTTGGCCCTGCAAGTTCTTGCAGCCACGCAACCTAGGGTTGTCACTTTCATCCAAGTGATACCTTCGCCAAGACAAAATCGTTCAAACTCGCCCAGTGAACGGCATGGGAAAGCATGGGAAAGTTTGTTTCTCTGCAAGCACAGCGGCATCATGAGATGAGCGGTTTTGAGTGATACAAAGAGGTGTGGAACGAAACACTTTGCCAGGGAGCCTCCTGTGTGGTAAGCATTGCTCGAGCCACCCACTGTCAAAAGACCACCCCATTCTCCCACACAAAGGGAGAAAATGCGATGGTCAATGTGCTTCTTGTGTCCTTAGCCGGCACTAATCCACGAGCAAACTGTTCTGTGCAGCAAATGCAGCTTGGAAGACGTGCATGCTGGCATGTCTTCCATGCAGACGGCCATTGGAAATGCAGAACAAGTCTCGAAACAAGTACGACAGAATCTCGGGGGGTTCGGCTGCCTTGAGGATGGCAAGATTTCACACATTGCAGTCAATTGCAAGAACCACTGCCCCTGACGGCAGTACTTCCCGCCTCATTCGGTGCCCAAGCAGCAGGCATGACAGGCGCCAAACCCATGATTCCATTGGCTTGCTGTGTATAGAAGAGCTTGTTCTCCTAGGTGCAGCCACTGCATCATTGAATTCGATCCCCAAATCAGTGGCAAGGCTAGAAATGCTCTAAGCAAAATATGCAAAGCATTGCCATGCTGAAGAGATCTGCGGCATCTCTAAAAAGTAGTCACATGTCATACCACATCATACCACTCTTGATCTTTCATTGAAGCAAAAGGGGACGATAAACACTGCAACCGCTAGAAGATGCTAGAAGCCCTCGCCCAAGGCGCCGAGTCATGGCAACCCATCTTCACCTCGACAGGAGTGTTGTTCTGAAAGGAGTCGCCGATACGCACTTGATCTTTGAACCAATGCCCAGAGATGGCACTGCCTGAAAGGCTCAGGCATGCTCAGGCCACCATTCAGGACAGAAAAGGGGGGAGGATCACATGTAGGTGAGACTTATTATATGAAGACTTTCAAAATCCTAACATGTTATCCTAAATAATTTAAATAATCTAAATAACCAAGAAGCAGAAGAACTGAAACCAAACCGGCACAGCCCAATGACTTTTCAGGCAATAATAATGAAGGATTACCTACAATCTGCCATAATTAGCTCCCACGCATGAATGGTGCAAGCAAAAGAGCCGCTGTGTGAACAGTCATACAGACACGAGATGAAAAGGCGCTAATTTTCGGTGCTTGCGACGCCTTCCGAGTACGTCTCCGAGTACTTGCATCGGTTATCCTGAGAGCACTGGCAGTGCTCGTTGCGGGTGACTTCATTGCAGTGCTGCCAGTGGGCAGTAGACGACTTGCTGATGTCCACAGCAGGCTCCTCAAGGCATTTTGAAGGTGGCCGTTCAGTTGAACACTCAAACGTCTCAACAATCCTCGCTATATAATGTCAACAGTGTAAACAAACGACCGTCATCACCCGGTACATGGCGAAACGTGATCGCTCATTTGCAATACATTTGGAATTTGGGGATCTTTGGGAGGGCTTCGGAGGGCCAAGACCGGTCAAGAGGGGTTAGAGTATGTTGGAGGTTCTCCCCACACACCTCTCTTAACTCTGCCAACTCTGCCGAGGCACCAAATGGTGGCCGCACTGTTCGCATCCCCCGCATGGAAAGGCAAGCAAGTGACTCCCAGTATCCACGATCACAGATGTGAGCTGTGGAGGGGTCCCAACCATCAGGTCTATGAAGTAGTAAGCATACCTCAGACCATCTCAGACCATCTGAGACCATCTCAGACCCACAGAATCCCAAAGACCTCAACCTTCCTAAAAACTGCCAACTGAAGGCGAGTGGCTTGTTCACATTCCCATACAGCCGGGCGGTCTCCACACCATCAACGTCGCTGGCATAGATCTCACGAACAAAAAGCACCTTAATCAAAACAAAGCTTAGCAGCTAGCACAGGCATGTTTTCAGGGAGCCCTCGCAAGTCAAAAGACACGTCGATCACGTGCATCAAGTATATCACAACTGCGCACATCATTATCTTGGCCTTGGCAGTTAAGGGGTGGTTTAGCAGGCCGGTGCAGAAGATTCCAAATCACTTCGATCTCGCAAGGTTTGTCAAGATTCCGCTGGATTCCTTAAGCTTCTGAGGTGTCCTTGTCCCTTATCCACCTACCTCCATTAGAATCCACAATACCTTCGCGATTCTGCACAGTACTGTAGAATTGCACAGGCATTCGTTGCTTCTTCAACCCCCTGCTGCATGGGGTCGATGACATCAGCGCTTCAACATGAACATATTATGCCAAAGCACCCAAAACCACAGCATCTTTGAAGCTTGGCGGAGGTGACGGCGTGAAAGGCCAAAAAAAAACGGGCCAAAGGGAAGACTGCAGCGGAGACTTTGTGAAATTGGAAACACTTGCTGCAAACCGATGCAACCAGCCGCATTTCCAAACAGCAATCGCACATCTGACTTCCGAAGTAGAAAAAAAAGAGAAATCAAAAGAGGGCATCCTAACACATGAAATCACAATTGCCAGGAAGAGCCTTCCTCATGCCCACTCAAAGTGCCAGGAAGAGCCTTCCTCATGCCCACTCAAAGTCTGAACATGTGGCCACAATTCGAAACAAAAATGTCCAGCTCTTTTTTGCCCTGGAGAGCTCTGAGAGCACTACCTCTCCAACGGACTGAGGACCCTGCCAGCACGGGAAGGTGGAAAGCCTTGGCAATGTGCTGACTGACCATTCAAGCGCTACAGGACTTACAGGACGGTGCCTTTTGCATCAAGAAACTGAGTTCAGAAATTGCATGGAAAAGCGGGAAAATGCAATTCACATTAAAGATATAATATATATATATAATTATAGTTAATTATATCATGTTATATCGTTATTCCATATTATTCCCCCATTTGGAAACAAAATCAGTCTGCGCCATCACCTGAAAGCGGCCGGGGCCTGAGCCCCTCGCCATGGCCGCCACCGCCAGGAGTTGCTACACGTTGCTACGAAAAATCCGCGCGCGAGCTTCACGGCAGCAAGAGTGGAGTACCGTTGGCTGCGACAAAACTGCAGAGGTTACACAGGACCTGACATAGGGATATGAACAAGGGATCATAAGATCAACCCCCAGGCGTTGCACGCCATGGATGAAATAGATATCTGATTTAAAACCTTCCTAAAACCAAGTTGTTTTGTGGTGTCCTTCCTCAAGCTTTCATCTTCGGCAAGAATCTTGCGTTTCCTCAGCACGCAAGCTGGATGTTCCAGCCGCTTGTTCTTTCCTAGATCCTACTGCGTTGCATCAAGTAGGTGTGGCACATGCAAATAAACATTCTGCAGCGTAGCATAAGGTATGTGCGCAAGTGCAAGTGTACATTCTGCAGCATGGCATCAAGTACGTGGGCAAATGCAAGTAAACATTTTCTAGCATATAGATGCATATAGCATGAAGTATGTGTTTAAATGCAAGCGAACGTTGGTAGCCGTCCCCAACCCCAACCCAACTATGCCCCACCCCAAGAAGAGAAATGGCAATATTAATACTTTTCAGGGCGGCGAGTCAGCGAAGAGCCAAAACCAACAATAGCACGCGAGGATCCGGAGGGATGGTACGCACGAACAAGTCTGATGAATCTGGTGTGAACACCAGTGCGGATAGTTCGGATATTGAAACTGAGCAGGGAAAGCGCTTTCCAGCCTTCGCCCCTTGGACTTCCACCTAAGCATGTGCTATGATGTGCTATGGAAAGTTATGGAAGTTCCATGTTCCTTTCACGTTTCCTTAGTTTCCTTTCTACTAACTTTCTACTTTAGTTTGCCTCTCAGGTGCCTGCTGCAGTCATGTCCTTTCAGCTGTACTCACTGTACTCCGATGTCTTTGAGGACCAGCACCAGTGCTCCAACCGAAACGCACTGCTCTCCCCAAGTTGGTGGCTTCTTGCACCTGGCAAGGGCTTAGCGGCTTGGCGGCTTAACAGTCAACTCATTGGCAACAGAACTGAAGACTAGTTTAAGAAAAGCGAGCAAATGCTTTAGGCATGATGTTCATGTTGATTTCTTCACGCAGCAAGCCCTTACTTAACTATCATGAACTACCCCCATCACAAGAACATCCACGATTAGCATCCTGAAACTTCTATGTACCCTAGAATCTAGAATCCACCGAGTCCATCTACGTCTCTTCGTAAATGGAAGGTATGCGGCGCAATGCTGCGGGCGTCAACAAACACAAACACGTCCAGGTCACACAGCAGGTGCCATATCTTGCGATTGCCTCAGGTGAGCTACCTGCCAAGATCGCAGGAATTCTGCGGGAACTGCGGGAACTGCTGCCGCAAATGCACCCGAAAGCAATCTCATGAAGGCTTTGAACTACCATGAACTACCTCAACAACCGGTCAGGAATCGTGAAACTAAAAATAACACCGGGGTTTGAGCCAACACGTTGAGACTTGAGTGACTTGAGTGGGTGCCTTGGCCATGATGGGCCATCCAGCACCACAAGTCACCTTTGGAGTCTACAAGGAGGGACCTTCAACTGGGGCTCGCTCCATGTTTCCTGGCGTCTGTCTTTTATCAGTTGTGTTTCCCTTTTTTTGCCACGCACGAGGGGGGTCGATTGAGGCTCAGCCTCCCGCAGCTGCGGAGAAGCAACCCACACCCGACGAGTGGCGGACGGCGACAGTTGCACTCGGCTCCAGCGGCCCCCAGCC